AGGAGAGAATCCTAGAAGCAGCAAGAGCTAAGACAGTCACCTACAAAGGAGTTCCCATCAGACTGTCAGCGGATTTCTCAAAAGAGACCTTACAGGCAAGAAGGGGCTGGAAAGAGGTATTCCAAGTCATGAAAACCAAAGACTTACAACCAAGATTGCTCTATCCAGCAAAACTTTCATTTAGAATGGAAGGACAGATAAAGTGCTTCTCAGATAACATCAAATTCAAGGAGTTCATCATCACCAAGCCCTTATTATATGAAATGTTTTCTTATCGAAGAAAAAGAAGTTAAAGAAACATGAACAGTGAAAGAACAACAAACTCCCAGTTATTAACAACCACACCTAAAACAAAAGCAAACAAAAAGGACAGCTAGATCAGGAGTGGAAACATAGAAATGAAGATCGCAAGGAGGGTTAGCAACAGGGGAGTGGGAGGAGGAGAAGGTGGGAGAAGGTACATAAAATAAGTAGCATAGACAGTAGATAGAACATAGATGGGGGGGCAAGAATAGCATGGGAAATATAGAATCTAAAGAACTTGAGACACATGGTCATAAAGTAAAGGGAGGGTAATGGTGGGGACGGGGGTAGGGTGGAGGGGAATGAAGGGGGGAATAGAACAACTGTAACAGCATAATCAATAAAAAAATTTTAAAAAACTAAATATGTCTTTGATTATATTTTGCTTGTTTGTTTGTTTTATTGATTAGGTTCCTGTTAAAGGTGAGATCATATGGTATTTGTCTTTCACTACATGGCTTATCATGCTTAGCATAATGCTTTTCAGTTCCATCCATGCTGTCCCAAAGGGTAGGAGCTTCTCTTTTTATGCTGCATAGAATTCCATTGTGTAAATGTACCACAGTTTTTTGATCCGTTCATTTATTGATGAACACCTATGTTATTTCCAGCACTTGACTATTGTAAATTGTGCTGTAATGAACACTGTGGTACATAGGTTCTTTAGGATTGGTGTTTTAGAGTTCTTAGAATGTGATCTTAGCAGTTGAATTGCTGGGTCAGAAGGCAGACCCATTTTTAGTTTTCTGAGAAAATGCCATACTGTTTTCCATAATGGTTTTTCCAGTCTGCAATCCCACCAGCCGTGCACTAGGGTTCCCTTTTCTCTACAACCTTTTCAATCTTTGTTGTTTGTTGCTTTGTTTATGGTAGCCATTCTGACCAGTGTGAAGTAGTATCTCACTGTGGTTTTAATTTGCATCTCTCTGATAGCTAGTGATTCTGAGCATCTCTTAATGTGACTCTAGAATAGAGAACAGGCTGACAAAAACCAAATGGGAGAGGGGAGGTAATTTTAGGGAAAAAGGGGAAGGGTTTATAGGAACAAGTATAAAGAACACATGGACAAAAACTAGGTGGGTTAAAATAGGAGGGAGAATGGAAGGGCTGGGGGTGGGTTAGAGTGTTAATAAAAGGCAGAAAGGGGACTTCCGCCAAGATGGAGGCATAGGTGGATGTGCCGTGCCTTCTCACACAACCAAGATTAGAGAAAACTAAATATTAGCAACAGAAAACACAGCCAGAACACGGAAAATTGAACTTTTCGGAAGTCCGTTAACAACAAATTCTTCAGCCTGACCAGTAAGGGGCGAAACCAGTGGCTGGCAGAGCAGGGTTGCACAGGAGGACTCGGCCAGACACATTCAGGCCTGGGGAATCCAGGCGCAGGGTCAGACCTAGTGAGCGACCCAGCGAGCAACCAGGTGAGCGACCTCGGGGGAGACAGCCGGGCCCGGGGCTGCGTGTTGAGTGAGGTCGCGCATTTGTGCAAGGGTGGACAGGCGAGGGAGTGGGCGGTTGGACTGGGCCGGCAGGTCCCCACGGCAAGCGGCAGTGGAGGGCGCTGCCATTTCCCTGCTCTGACCCCACCTCCACATACAGCGTCATAACCCAGGACTCTGAGTGGCCCGGCCCAGGTGAACCACCTAAGGCACTGCTCCTCCGCACCCAGCTGTGAGAAGCCGCAGAGGGGGTCGCCATTTCCCTGCTCTGGCCACGCCCCCACATACAGCGTCAATACCCAGCGACCTGGGAATCCAAGGCGCCGCTTCTCACACTTAAAGGGCCCGAACAGACCAAGAATGGCGCAGGAGGATCTCAGAGCCCCAGAAATAAATCTAAGCGATGAAGAAATAGCAAAACTCACAAATGCACAGTTTAAAAAATTGGTGATCAGGATCCTCACAGAACTGGTTGATTATACCGACAAATTAGACAAATATATGAAGGCGAAACTAATTGAAATGAATGGAATTGCACAGGACACCAATAGCGATGAAAAGGAAACTGGGACTCAAATCAATGGAGTGGACCAGAAGAAAGCAAATAATGGCCAAACAGAAAAGAGTCAAGAAGCAAGAATTCAAAGAAATGAGGAGAGTCTTAGGAACCTCCAGGACATCTTTAAACGCTCCAACATCCGATATAGGGGTACCAGAAGGGGGAAAGGAACAGCCACCAGTGGAAAACTTATTTGAACAAATAATAAAGGAGAACTTCCCCAATCTGGCAAAGGAAATACACTTCCAGGAAATCCAGGAAGCTCAGAGAGTACCAAAGAAGTTGGACCCAAGAAGGAACACACCAAGGCACATCGTAATTACATTAGCCAAGATTAAAATGAAGGAGAGAATCCTAGAAGCAGCAAGAGCTAAGGGGACAGTCACCTACAAAGGAGTCCCCATCAGACTGTCAGCGGATTTCTCAAAAGAGACCTTACAGGCAAGAAGGGGCTGGAAAGAGGTATTCCAAGTCATGAAATCTAAAGACCTACAACCAAGATTGCTCTATCCAGCAAAACTTTCATTTAAAATGGAAGGACAGATAAGGTGCTTCTCAGATAACATCAAATTCAAGGAGTTCATCATCACCAAGCCCTTATTATATGAAACGTTAAAGGGACTTATCGAAGAAAAAGAAGTTAAAGAAACATGAACAGTGAAAGGACAACAAACTCAGTTATTAACAACCACACCTAAAACGAAAGCAAACTAAAAGGACAGCTAGATCAGGAGTGGAAACATAGAAATGAAGATCTCAAGGAGGGTTAGCAACAGGGGAGTGGGAGGAGGAGAAGGGGGGGAGAAGGTACAGAAAATAAGTAGCATAGACAGTAGATAGAAAATAGATGGGGGGGCAAGAATAGCATGGGAAATATAGAATCTAAAGGACTTGAGACACATGGTCATAAATTAAAGGGGGGGTGATGGTGGGTATGGGGGGTAGGGTGGAGGGGAATAAAGGGGGAATAGAACAACTGTAACAGCATAATCAATAAAAAAAATTAAAAAAAAATAAAAGGCAGAAAGATGCATTTGAACAACAATTAAAAAATAAAATATATAAGTAACCCCAAAATAAATAAATAAGAAAATAAAAAAACTATGTATAATCAATAATTTTGTGCCTTTCTCCATAGTAATTAATGAAAATATCATTATGCACTGAAAATATTTGTTATTCAAAAATAACTTCTCTAACAATCTATTTATGTAGTATCCAATGCAATAGATAGAAGAATAAATAAGACCATACAAATTAAAGAAATAACTTGAAAACCACAATGGTCTATGACCTGTTTCTGTGAAGAAATTTGTGTGATGTTCTGCCCAGGGTCTGTGCTCTTGGCCCTAGATGTGGCTAGGGTGGTTGAAGAAATCCCACCAAATAAAGTGGAATGGGAAGAGGAACTTCCTGCAATAGAATAGTCAGCTGCCCAGGCACTAAAGTCTGGATTGATATTGGAGTAGGGGGTAAGGGTGGCTGAAAGTGAATTTCAAAGGCTAAAATTATAAAATTGAGAGTTTGAGGGCTTTGCCAACCACTTGCCATGATAAGACAAACTCCAGGGAGGATGAGTCCACACTGTGAATGGTTTGAGGGAACAATGACTCACCTGAGAAAGGGATATAGAAACAATCAAAGTAGAAGTGAGAGCCCAGTGGATAAAGAAGTTGAATGACTAAATCCAAGAGAGACCTCCCAAAGATTTTCTGATGGAGATAAACCCTGTATAGAAGGACATGGTGGGAGGCAGTAGAGAGAATGAATCATTTGGGAGGTTACTTTCTCATGTAAGATAATCAGGGAAAACATCTATGTCTCTCTGATATTTGAGTAAGACTTAGAAATGAGCACATGGGGTTAGGGAGGACTTGGCTAGCGACACCTGATTTGGCATGATTAGTTGCTTAAGTGCAGAGGAACTGACTTGCACTGCATATTTTTCTCTGATGAAGTTTTTTTTTTCCTATGAAACATACAATGAAAGTTTTCACAGTCACTTCAGATTAGAAAGCTTCACTCTGAGAAATTTTTTCTAGCTCTGAGTGGTGTCCTCTTCTCCAAGAGATACCACGACGAAGGAGGTCAAACTTAATTTCATAAGGCTTAAGGACATTTCTAATTCCATGGGCATTGGTCTGAACTAGGAAATATGAGTTAAATTTTTGGTTTTATTACCAAAGCTTCCAATTAGATATTACTAACAAAAAGAACAGAACTGTATTGAACTTATGGAAATAATTTTATTGACATATAAACAGGAATCCTCAAGACTTTAGAAATTTTTGAAAGAAATAGAAAGATAAAGATTATTGTTGCTACTCACATGAGTGTCCTTTTGTCTATTTCCATTGTCTACAAAAGTGTCTACATGTTATCTACATGTTTATATAAAAAAGGACAAAGCTCAGATACTACGAGCTCATCACTACTTCCACTGGGTATCATATGACCACTACTCATCCTCCAAAAGACACAATGTCACCTCCAATGTGGACATGGTACAAATGAAACCAGCCCAAGATGAGACTTTTCTGAAATATGACCTTAATTCAAAAATAACGACAATGTCTGCTTACATTTTTGGTGATTATTGATTCAATGCAACTATTTTAAGAAATACCTTCAAAAATATATTTTAATATTGCAAACATTTTTATTTAGAATTTAATAGTACATGGGGGAAAGAAGGGTCACTCAATTTTCACATGCAGTACAACAGGCAAACTTGCAGTAGAATTCATGAGGTTGGAGACATCACACCAATAAATCCCAGCATCATCCCTCTTCACGGGATCTATAGTGAGGCTTCGGTGGTCTTTAGAAATCTTTATGCGTTCATTGAGCTGAAGATTCTTGCCATAGAACAACCACTGGATGTAGAGTGCATTTGTGTTGCAGGTCAAGACCACAATATCCTTATTCTCTGTGACTGTCGTGTTACTGACTCTGAGGTAGACCACCAATTCTGGCTCTGTGGAGGAATAGGCAATGTGAATGATTAAGAATGGATTTGGTAAATGGAGTCATACTACTCACTCAGTTCTCAGCCACTCACAGCCCACAGTGAGCTATGAAAAGACCAAGAGAGTATGTTCCTGACATTTGCAAAAGGCTAATTGTCTAAGTTCAGATAAAATTATGTAAGGGAAGAGCTGCAACTCCTCTATACCCCATATAACCCGAACATGATTCCATTCCTATACACCCAGTCATCTGAGTGAGCAGCTCACAAAACCCCTTCCTAGCCCATAGGTCCTGTAGACTCATTATCAAATAAAATTTTTCTCTCTTGAACACTTATTGACCTTTTATTAGATTTTTTTCAAAACATCAGGTCCCACTCCTTATATAAACTTTTTGTCCATGTTGTGGAAGCCAAGCTTACCATTTTGTTCATCTCTGGAGCCAAGGAAGTTTACAGGAAGCAGAAAAGCAGTTAGCTTTTGATAAATAATATATTAAACAGTAAAGTCTATTCAGTGGAGACCAGACAGTCTTTCCAAGAAACAGGTTGCACAGTGATATGTGCATGGAGAAAAGTGACGTAAGTCATTGTCTGACACCACACACAAAAATTCTGTGAAGTAGATCAAATTTTAAGGTTAGACCCAAAACTATAAAATTCTTAGAAAAAGAATAAAGGGAAGAATTATGACATTGATTTGGCAATGGTTTTATAAATATAACACTAAGAACTCAGAAAGAAATTAACAATTTGGATTTTGTTAAAATAAAAAAAAAACTTTTCTTTATAAAAAAACATGTTGAAAGGTGTCCTATGACATTCAAGAAAAAATTTGAAAATCACATGGAAAATAAAATATTAATATCTAGAATATACAAAAGCCTTCTACAACTCAACAGCAACAAAAAAAATTGCATACAAAATGATTAAAAATGAACAGAACACTTGAATAGACATTTCTCCAGAGAATATATGCAACAAAAAATGCTCAACAAAACTACAATTCACAAAAACGAAAGTCAAAACTCCCCAGGTTGCTTGTGATCTTGGGTACAGTTAACTTTGCTCTGCAGGTAACAGCACAAAAATTGCCCTTTGTAGTACCTTCCCTTTCCTCAAAAGCGTTTCAACCAGAATTGGCTCCTCTTACATCTCAGTCAACCTGAGCCTTTGAAAGAACCCAGGAGGTCTGTGTATCACTAGAAAATTCATGGGGATATGGGTGCTCAGAGACTGTATGGCTTCCAGCTCTATGTGTGGTGGAAACTACAGACTTTCTCAGGTGTCATTTAAGTATCAGTGTTTGGGTAAGGAAAGACATAAGATTGGGAGTCTAATACACCCCTGTAATTCTGCTTCTTCACAGACCACCTGAGTGAGTGCCTGGTTAACAAGAAGTGTTTCCTTGCAGCTGCAAATACTTCTATTGCCCAACTGAAGTGTATGTCTAAAAGGTGTTTTTTCCCAGGACATCCTAGAGAGTGCAGTTTATGCAAAAATAACACATTATTATTGATTTATGTATTGTGTTATATATATATATATAATTATATTATATATAATTATAATATATATAATTACTATTATATAATAACCAGGGGCAAGTGGAAAGTAAGTTGACTACTTAGGCTTCTGGGTCAAGAGATGGGTGTGAATCAAATTAGTCAGTGAGCCAAATGGATCAGTGAGCCAAAAAATGATAGAGCAAAGTCAAAGAGGTGATTTAGGAAAGAGGAAAAAGGACAGGCAGAAGTTGATGAAGGCAGCAGAATCAAGTGCTTTGCCTTTGACCATTAAAGTCATACTCTCTCCCCTGAGGGCAGGTAAGGGCTGGTGCAATTGCAATGCAAATGTCTTATGGCAAGTGAGATAGAAATTTGGGGGAAAATCTTAAAATTCTTCTCTGTGCAAAAATTACTACTAAGAGCCCAAGGCCTAAGAATAATTGCAAGAAAGACTATTTTATTGGAGAAAATAAACAGATCTGAGATGATGGTCCAGGTTCCTGGAGGCACGGAAACCCTGTCTCTCATGGCAAGAATTTAAAGACCTCAGTAACCAGATTCCAAAGTCTAAAGAGATTTTCTATCATTCATTTATTCATTCAATCACCATTTATTCCTTCCTATTTCATCAAAGCAACTGAATGTTTGTTACATGTTGGTCGCTGAGATTGTTTCAGGCATAGACTGAGGAGTGAGAAGACAAACTTCTTTCTTTATATCTGCTGGGGTGACACCACCAAAACAAGAAGCAAATAAGTAAGTGATGTGATGTCCAGTGCAGGGAGGTGTGTAGAGATCACATGAGGGGAAGTTGTACAGTGATTGTGATTGTTACTGGCTGGTGACCAAATCAGAATCTTTATGTTTTGGGCACCCATTAAATGGTTTCACACTCAGCCTTTCCCAGGAGACCAAGTACAACTCGGCACAGGCTTACCACTGTCCCTAGGTTCAAAATCACTGGGACAAGGTATTGGAGAGGAGATTCTGAGCTGAGTTCTGCAGGTATATCGGGGGACTTCTCAGACAATTCTTTGAACTTGCACATCAAAGCCATTCTCAAGGTCAAGTTCATAGGCAGGTGCTCAGGGGGTTTAACTGAGATGGGACTCCTATTGTAGAGTAACTTTCATCACAATGAACTGTCTGCAGTGACTACTCATAGGGGTGCAAGTTGGGAAGGGAACTGATACCTTAAAAATTATCTACACAAAATTCAACTTGAAACAAAATGTGGAGAGGAATGGAAGCAGAATTCAGGAATGTCTGCCCTCTGTGTGAAGTAGAATCCACCCCATCCAACATTCAGTGGTCAGAGAGCAATCACTCACCATATACATTAAGATGCCCAAATCCAATTTCTTTTTCTGACTCTGTAACATAGACTACTACGGTGTATATTCCTGCATCATTCATGGTGACATTTTCTATCAGCAAGGATCCATCATGGTTTATTGTCTCTCGTCCCCTGTATGCAGGACCTTTTATATCATACGTTGAGAATGTGAAAAGAAATGCAATCATACTCTTTTTGCTTGTGCTTTTCCCCCTGTACCATATGAAGGCTAGAACTTTGGGAGGGGTATTGAGGAGAGGTAGAAGTGCAGCCTCCCCTTCAGCAATATAGGTTGACACAATAGAGACTTCAGCTGTGGTAGGTGAGCACCAGAAGTTGAAGAGTAACACTAGGAAATAGGAAAAAAAAAAGATCTGTATTTGCATGTATACATTGTGATGGAAAGATAAGTCCCTAAATCTTGAGCAAGGCTCTTTATTTCTGAGCCTTGGTCTACCAGGTATATCTCCCATGGTCAAGGTCCACAGCATAGCCCCCATTATTTTAGTACCTCTAAAACATTCTTTTTTGTTTCAAGGAGATTTCTCTAAGTGCTTTCTTGCTCACCCCTTCATTATGCTCAGACTCCTTCTTACAGTCAGGGGCATTTTTGGAAGACACTTTGCTGTCTGCCAGTCTAAAGGTCCCCTCTTTTCACTTCTTTTTTCCCATGGGTCTTGTGCATACCTCACATACCATCTTGATCTTTCCTTTTCCCAATCTTCTACTGAATAATGACTAAATTAAAGCATAGCCTTGTGGGATTTTGTGCCTCCCTGGACTTCAACAGGCTGCATGGATATGAATTTGAATGAAGGAGCACAACCAGGGTTGTCCTTGTGGGATTTATTTGACCATTTATTTTTTTTTATTTTTTTTTAAGATTTCATTTATTTATCTTTAGAGGGGAAGGGAAGGAGAGAGGGAGAGAAACATCAGTGTATGGTTGCCTTCGTGCGTCCCCTGCTGGGAACTGGCCTGCAGGGAACTGGCCTGCAACCCAGGTATGTGCCCCGACTGGGAATCGAACTGCACGATTGTCTGGTTCGCAAGCCCGTGCTCAATCCACTGAGCTACAACAGCCAGGGCTTTATTTGACCATTTATGAAGTTGGTGGTAAAGACAATGCCCAGCACTGCTAGTTAAGTGTTTATTTCTTCTGGTGTTTCCTAATATAAGTTATTATTATTATTATTATTATTACTATTATTATTAATATCAGGTTTTTTTAGTCATACCCAATGATGAATAAGAGGAAAAGGGCAGCAATGGACATTTTCCTGCCTCTCACCACTTCCAGATTATGAGATTTTCTTCTTGCTGAGCTCCCTCCCCAACCCTACTCTTCTCCTTGTCCTTCATTCTCAGGTCCAGACAGAAGCCTTCCCTCTTTTCTCAGAGCACAGGTCCCTTCAGCAGATCTCAGCTAGTCTCTTTGTCAGATCTTTTGTCTACCCCAAGGGATTGTCTCCTACTTACCAGCCACCAGGAGCCCTGGCAAGTGGACAAGTCCTCTGTGGGTAAAGACTGGCAGGGATACCATGGTGTATGTTGTCTGCTCTGTGGCTGCCTCTTTGAGAGGAGAAGAAGGCATGGAGATGCTCTCAGGATATCCAGAGGCTCTGTCCAGAATGGTGCAATCTGCTGTGGGTCCTACCTGTGTGCTGAGCTTTAATCTGGGGCATGTTTACTAGTATCGTCATGTGGGCTGAGGGGTGGGTCTCTGCACAGGACCCTCCCACTCCCTGCCCTCATTCTGCCAATCCAGTCCTTATTTATTGGTACCGCTCCCCTACATTTTGGTTCCCTGGGAACTTCCAAGATTTCTCAACACTACACTCATGCACAAATGCATGTAAACACACACAAACACACACTCTTATGCTGGGTTTAGAAATCACAAGATGGGGTTGTCTGGATTTTGGACATTCCCAAGAACTTCTTGTCAGCTGCACATTACCCTTTCCCACAGCCCTCTCTCTATCACATTTGACTTTTCCCTTCAGAGCATGTGTTCTGAAGCTCAGTCAGAAAAACCTGTCACAAGCGTATCAACCCAGCTCTGCATCAGATCACCTGTGAAGCTTAGTAACATCACAAAGCCCAGGCGGCACCTTAAAAATGCAGCTTCAGCAGTTGTCCAGCTAATGTGGGTGTCCACTCAAAATAAGGTAATTTGATGTGAAGGTTGAACCATTTCTCCTGCTCTCCTGTCCATAGGGAGAGTCTCTGGATTCTGTTAAATTGCAGATTCTGAAGGGGAGGCAGTGGATCAGGGACTGTGCATCTCACAAGCTCTCAGGAGAAAGAGATCTTACTGGCCTGATCTCACTTGCAATAGCCAGGCAGATATGGGCACATTTACCTCTGAGAGATGGATACACTCATGCTAGCATTGATCACACCATTATTGTGTCTTGTTCTGGGGTCTGCCACCATAGCTTAGAGCCCCAGGTGCCCTCAAAATATGAGGATTATTTCTTTTTGTGACACAGAACCCCAGGTGGGAAATCGGTCTTCTTCGTATACTCAAATGCTCTGAGAAGGTTTTATTCTTTCCAGAAAGAAGGTCACAGAGATGACTCTGTGGGTGAGAGGTGTCAAACTGGGTGACACCAGCAGAGGGAATCTGTCTTCTGTCTCAGGTTGTCACCAGACTGCATTTTGTTTCCAGAAACAAAGATTCCAAGCCAGAAGTCACTACAGTAGGGCCTTCAGTTTATGGGTTTGAAGTGGGAGATGTCCTGTTTCCCCAGGAAGAAATGACTGTGAGGAAATATAAGGTGCCTGTGGGATTCCTGGTCCTCCAAGGAGTTTCATGACTGTTTATTGGACCTGTCTTTGTGCTGCTGGCTGTGGAACAACCTCTGATTCTTGCCTGAGGAACTTCCTTGTGGTCACCAGACTTTCCATAGATGATTCCAGGCATAGGATACAGAGCAGCACAGAAATCCCTGAGGGAGGACGTGCTCCAAGGCCCTGTCAAAGTAAAAACCTTTCAAGACTGGAAGCGATGCAATTAATCTAAGCAAAACTGACTTTATATTCCAGAGAAAAAGGACTCAAATCCTTTTAAGAGAGGCAGTTTTGCATCTTATTTTCTATAATATAATCAAAGTACAAAGTGAAAACATTGCAGAGAATGCACTAGGAGGTGAGACATTACATAGAAGGGAAATTTCAAAATTGGAAAAAAAGGCAAAAGAGAGAAACATACCTTTTACATTGATGGTATGAGATTATTAATATTTACAAGATAGAGAGAAGGTGTTCACAGGACCAGATAACATAAAGGGTCCTGTGTTATCATACACTCGGTCCAGATTCTGTGCATTTGAATGGTTTCACAAATAAATCATTCTGATCTGTCAGTTATTCAAGCTGCAAAAAAAAAAAAAAATGCACCAGGGCTCATTCAAGCTAAAGACTGACTTTTCTGAGAAAAAGCATTTGCCTAAAATGTGCCAACCTGCCAAATTTCTACCTGTCCTGCTAGAAATTTCTAATCAGAATATTTTGTGACAATTGTCAGGCCTGCCATGTAGTCCCCTGAGCTTCTCAGGGTTGCCACACTGCCCTGCTTTGTTAACAGTCTCTAGAAGTAGCAGGTGGGATAGATCAGGAAAGAGGAAGGGCCTGTTAAAGGCCTGATGAAGCAAGTGAGCAAAATCAAGCTCCTTCTCCATCTTCTTAGCCAAAGCCAGGTTCCTGTGTCTATTTCCTTTTTCTCGCAATGCTGTTCCCTAGAGCACATAAGTAGAACTGCAGTCAATGTCAAGGGCATTACAAGAAACATATTCAATGAAGGGTGAGCCCAGTGAGCACACAGAAATTATTGAGAGTACTGTGAGTCCAAGGTCAAGAGAACTGTTGCACCAGGGGAATGTGGTGTTTCGGACAGGGCTCTCTGTTTTCAAATGTTCAATGGAAGGGCCTGGTGAAGGTTCTCCTGAGGGTTGAAGAGGGTGCTGACTTGGAGGTTTGGTACCAAAAATGTCCTATGTGTCCTCCATCACTACATTGAGATGTTGCATATGAGTCACTTTTGTGCCTCTGTCTTCCCAAATGCCCTAGGAGATGAAGCACCTCCATGTGAATACTCAACAAGGGGCCCTTTGTGTTGTTTGTTGGGAAAAGAAAAGTGCTTGAAGAACTTCAGCCCCTCTGAGGTGAAAGCCACCACAGATTCTGGGTTCTCTTGTCCTATTCTGCAGAGAAAGTATCTCTTGTTCCCCAGGACATAATGACCTAGACAGATGTCTTCACAAACAACAGGCAGATGTCCCACAGACCAGGGATTCTGGAAATGAAGAGTCATTTCGATTCTTATAATGTCAGGTTATGCTCTTTCCCCCTATGACAGTGACTCTTCCAGGGGTTGAGGATCCTTAGTTTCTGTCAGGTCAAGTGTCTTTGAGAATGGAAAAAACACAGGCCTTAGCTGATAAGACATAACTAACAAGGTAGGACTGTGGAGAGCTGTGATTTTGGAGGAATAAAATGCAGTCCAACCCCTCACTGTCAGTAGATTTCCTTCATTGCTCCTGAATGCATGAGAAGTAGAAACCTGACCCTAGGATGCCCCCAAGGGAGGCAGTGGTCCCCTCTCATGCTGATACCAGTGCCTTTCTGTCTATATAAAACCTAACTTCACCACAAGTGTCATGCAGAGGGACAGGCTTCAACTGTGCAGTTTCCCTTATTGATTTAATGAGTGGTAAAAGAGCATCTGACATGTGTCATGTTCTTGGCTAGGCCCTGGAAACTCCAGAGAGAATAAGACATATGTAGGCCCTGTGCTCATTGAGTTTATATTGAAACAGTGACCGGATATTAAATAAATCTTGACTCTAAGAAATTAATTATAAACAAGTGAGGGGTCATAATGGACAACTTCTGGAGCATTGACAGCAGATACTTGAGTCTCAGCTAGTCTGGGGATCACAGAGAGCACTTCTGAGAAAGACTGTTGGCTGAGACCTAAAGAGTTAGTGGCCATTTTCTACTTGAAAAACAGTGGATGTTTAAAAAAATTGCCTGCAGAAGTCTAATCTTTGTTGTGCTGCCACTAGCCTGAAGGGAGGAGTAGACACAATCCAGGTAAGGAACTTGAAGAGTTAGAGAGACTGTGGAATGATTGATGTTGGTGAGGTTAGTCCCTGCTGGGCTGTGGCTGCTGCTGATTCAGCGAGATCAGTGATGCCATAAAGGCTCCAGCCTGCAGAGTAATTTTCTTCTCCCTGCTGGGACTTTTCTGCACACACAGAAAAATGGGCAAGAAAATGTCAAGTTACTGTTAGGTATTTCCTTGTTTTATTTTGTGCTTTCCATTCAACATATACTTTAGGC